GGGGGGGGGGGGTTGTGGGCAAGTGGATGGCAGTGTTAAAAAAGTATGGCGGAGGGGATTTTTTTTGCCAGGTGTGGATGGAGACCATTCCCAGAGTGGTCCTCCAATAAGAGCTCATGCACTTGGCAGCAGCAGGGAACACAGTGGTTTGAGACAAATATGGCCGTTTAGTTAAGTTTTTTTCCTCGTTTTTTTGTCGTTTTTTTCTCTAAAAACGTGTGAGGTGGGGGGGTGGGAGATGGGGGCAGGGGCGAGGTGTGAAGGTGAGAGCCATTCCGATGCCTCGGTGAGGTGGTGTGTGGGTCTGTTTGTTTCTCCCTACACCAAAAGTTCAACCCCCTCCGCATTGTCAACATGGCGGCGAGGCCCTGCTTTTTTTTTTGTTTGTTTGGTGCCCCCGCCGCTGCCTGTCAGTTTGCTTTGTTTTCTAAAGTCCTCTGGTCTGACGGGGCCCCGGCCTGGCCCTCACACAGACATCCACATGTGTTTGTACGGTCCTTGGGATGTGATCTGTGCCTGGAGTGGACTGAGCCACTGGCCCCGCAGAAGTCCTGCCTGTTGGGCGAAAAGTGAAAGGTGATTTCATTGGTATTTAATTACCCTTTTACAAGTGGTTTGTTTTGGCAGCTGGTTTTGTGACAATTTTCTCGCTCCCTCCTCCTCCTCCTCCTCCATTTTTTTTTTTTGTATTTTCTTCCTCCACTGTTTCTTTCCCTCACACACTCTCCCTCTCCCCCTCTTCTGTGTAATGTGTTCCTTCTCTTTCATTCCTCACTCAAGTGTTTTTTTGTTTGTTTTTAGTTTTTTTTTTAGCTGTGAGTGAGTGTCACGGCCCTTTCACAGGCTCGGTCTTGTGTGAGAGGCCATTATGGGCATCAGGCGAGCGGGAAGGGGCAGCCCGGTGGGGTCAGAGTCCCAGAGCCTCGGTGTGTTTTCTTGCCTTGAGTCGCAGGTCGGCGATGCTGGAATTCTTGCTGTTGCTTTTGGCGGCGGCCGCCACCGCCGCCGCCGCGGAGGCCGAGTCGGCGAGCGACGCGATTGGTAGTCCGAAGGGAGGGGGCGGGAACATCAGGTAGGGGGCATGAGCGGCCAGGTGGGGGTGCAGGTGAGGGTGGGAGTGGGTGACCCCGTCCAGCTGGAGTTGGGCCTGAACCTGCGGGTCGAAACGTAAACGTTAGTCGGCATTAGTCCCCCCGAGGCCTACGTGTGTGTGTGTGTGTGTGTGTGTGTGTCTGTGAATTTGTGTGGGAGCTGAGGATTTAGGTTTCACAGTCTGACACTATTAAATTTGCCCCTCAAATTTCTACCCCCAAAGAGTTGTTGCTTACGGGGTGTTTTCTAAGAAAATAGTCAAGGGCTGCACTCTGTGCTTCAGCCCCTTTTTTTTTTTTTTTTTTTCATGTCAGCTATTCTAAAAGTTAATGAATCATACATTGCACTCAGACACCACATCCAATTTAATCTCGGAGAATCAAAGCCTCTCTAGGACCCAGAACAGATTTCTTTAATTCAGACTGAGGACTCCGTTATACCCTTGGAAATATGGAGTCTTGTTATCCTGATTATGTATTCAATTGCATAAATAAACAATTTTGCACTAAAAAGACATTCACAACTTTGGAGTTATAAATATTTATTCAGACATATTCCTGAGTCAAGGGGAAAAAAAACCATAAGGAGCATAGGATATCAGTTTTCACATTCTTGGCAATTATTTTATAAGAAGTAGGTGAAAATTAAGCATCAGCTTACTTCAGAGGGAGAGAGCTGAGCCTGTTGCCATTTCTCATGTGTTTCAAACACCACAGGAAGAAGTAGGAAAACCAAAGTGTCTCATACTTTTCTCCTCCAACCAAAATAGAATGGTAAAAAGTCAGTTTTAGCTTTACTAAATGTAAACAACGAACCCCCTCTACAATAAATCTCACGCGGTTAACAATCAGGTAACAAACTTCTGCTGGGACGGAAAATGACTAAAGCACTGACGTCTGATTGAAATGCATGTTGGAAAACCAATGTGAAGCTTGATTTTGCGGTGTTGCTGCAGTTGGGAGAGACAGAAATCGATCTTCTGCCGACGAACTGGGAAAGGTTCAAAACGTCTCTTGTGTTTGCCTCTTTTTAAGAAATGTTTGCACGGATGCATGAAAGTTAGCCGCTCGGAAAAAATCTGACAAGTTCTGAAGAGTATAGAAGGACGCGAGGACCTCGTAGGAATAAATCGCAGCTTTATGAGAGGAAACCTCAAGCCGTTAACTTGTTTTATATGCATATGCTGCATTGTAATATCTGAATCTGTGCATGGCTTCTGCCAAGTTCAGCTTCAAGCGTCGTGTTTCTCTCTCAGTATGCAGGCCTCCACCCCTGCCAGTGCAGCTCAATGCTAATATCCATCAGAGCCCACTCCATTCCCCCGCTTTCATCATCTCTTTTATGTGCTCACGCCTGCCGCACTGTTGGCTTAATTAGGCCACCGCTTTTTTACAAGGGTCAAGCAGACAACACAGCGGTCGGGACGCCAAAAGCAGACAGCGGCCGATCAAATCTCAGTCCACCTCTCCTTCTCTTTCCTTTGCAGTCTTGACCGACTCTGCACAAACCCCTCATCACCTGGATGCATGCAGACGCATGAAAACACACAACTACGGGACGCCAGTACAGGCCAAAACTACAAAAACATACAGACAACTTCATCTTTTCCTTGACCTGTTTTTCTATTTTCTTATTTACACCCAGTTTCCAACCCTGCTTTATACGGGATGCTGAGTAATCAGATTTGTTTCTAACTTCTCCAGACTTAACTCAAGTCAAACTTTGCTTTCTCTGATTTAAATTCTATTTCATGCTCCGCCAGCTCCCGCCAATGTATAAAATTGCGGCCTACCTGTTGGAAAGGCATTCGGAGGGCGCCCATATTGACATAGGGAGCTACTCTGCACGCGTCCAGATGACTGCCGCTGCCCAGAATCACACCTGGGGAGAAGGGAAAGATGTCTGTCAGACAGCCAGACAGTTGTTGTTATATGAGATGAGGATATCAGAGTTTTTCCACACTTAGTAAAAAAACAAGAAAAAGAAATTGAAACTATAAAAGAATTATAATTGTACAATGTATTATCATAATAAGAATAATGCAAGTAAGGTTATTTTATATATTTTAAAGAATTGATATTTACCTTTGTGCATCTGGTTTTCTTGTTTTCGACATTTTGCTCTTCTGTTCTGGAACCAAACCTGCATTGTAAAAAAAAAAAAAAGTGTATTAGAGATAATTGAAAAATGACAGGAAAAAATATCAAATGTGAATGGTTTGCAGTTTTTACATGAATATGAGGTATATTAGTGTAACTGGAATAAAACAGCAACCTATAGCTGCTGCAGTAATCACCCAACAGTACTGCACAATGATACTACAGTAAAATAGAATCTATTTGTCGTTGTTAAGACACTTAAAAAGAAAAGGAACTCTTGAACGACCATCCAATTTGCCGGCTGTCTCTGAACCTGCGGGCTACGGCCCGTTGTTAATCACCATCAACTTAATTTGCCTCGTTGAATAACATTATCTCCCCTCCCCTTTCGACCCCGCAATGATTATCATTTACAGATGCGGAATTAGCGACTGTTGCCCGACCACAAAGGGCGCGCGGCGGAGGAGGAAGAGGAGGAGGACTCCGTGCGTCACGGAGCGCGTTCCCAGCCGCGCGCGGAGCGACGTGCGGCCGTAAAGGAGGACAAAAAGAAAGCAGGACTGAGCACAAGCCGAGGGAGAGGAGTGTCGAGGGAATATAAGTGACTAGTGGCGTAAATGTCTGTCCCTGTGTCGTAAAAGAACTCTTTAATATGGAGTTAGACCCAAAAAAGGCGTTCCATCAGCAATTAGTTAAGATGTAAAAAAAAAACAATTATTATTGTCATCATCACTCTCCTATTAATATTATTATAATTGTTATTAGTATTATTATAATTATTTGTATTATTATTATTATTATTATTATCATTATTATTATTATTATTATCGTCATCATCCTCATCGTCATTATTGTGTTTTGGCTGTGAGTTGACGTAATCACAGGCTGTGATCGGCAGCGGTAAATGGCGGTTAAAGGTGTTTATGAAAATCCCAGGTGATTTTGCATAGATGCTCAGTAATCCCTCAGATAAATCAAGCCCAATATTAGACGGGCCCGAAGATCCATTTCAATTACGTTCCAGTATGTTAAGCAAAGTGAACTACACTGGTTCAGACAGTTATTTCTTCATTAAGGACCACTCAATGATGCGCTTCACAAATACCCTAATCTCATTTCCTTTTTGATTTTTTATTAGAGACAGTGAATAATGACATTTAATTTAGCAGCGCGCCAGAAAAACCCAAGGATATTAGTCCTAACCGAATTACTGCCTGCTCCTCACCAAGCTCTCATAACTTTCAATTAGATTCATTGACAGCTGCTCGGAGCGCAGGTTCACAGCCTCCAACAACCCTGCTGCAATTCTGCGCCATCCAGATGGAGTAAACACGTCCGGGAACCCCAAACAAGACCCGCAAAGGCTCTAAAAACCCTTTATCTCTCACCGTGGAGCGTATTTTCTCCACTGACATTGTCTATTTGGTCCGATAAAGCACATATATACCGTTCAGATCCGTAAGACTTTTTAATCTACATTCACACCATGCAATTATCCCTAATGAATACACTTTATTAGCCAGGATTGCAGATTGGTTCGGTATTGTACTGTCAACCGAGTCCCCGACAGTGCTCGGATCAAAATGGTCGTCGCCGCGTTCATAAAGCTCCATGATGGAGTTTATTCATCCGATTAGATATATCTGAACAGCAGCAGAGTCGGCCCGCAATTGAGTTATTTCTAATCTGTTTTTATGGGGACACTACATCAAGCCACTGGCAGATATTACAAAGAAAATGAGGAGGGATACGAGTTGACATAAGAGCGCGTCCCCCTGAAGCAGCTATTCAGACTCTTCATTCATTTTAATCAATGGTGGGAAGGTTGTTGTGGTTGTTTTTTTTAAGTTTTTCAGTTTATTTCTGTTTGTTTGGTTATTTGTGTTTTTCCCCTAACGGGCTGGAGGTTGTAGGCTTTAGAGGCCTGCCGGTGAAGCTTCATCTGGTTGTTGCATTCTGGATGATTTACAGCAAAGTTGTACAGGAATAATTGCAGTAATCCAATTCTTATTAGATATGCATAAGTCACTTTCATTACTGACTCTTATGTTAACAGTTATAGAAAATATATTAGTGAAAATTATATTCGAATATTCCTAGATATGATTAGATGATAAAATCCACTAATCCTTATTTGTTTATTTCTTATTCCTGATAAGTGGGATTCTTTACAAGAAGTCCAAGCAATAAGTTTTCAAAAAGAACTCAAATTGGATATGGATACAATTGACATTTAAAAATAAAAATATGCAGACTCTGTTTTCTTTTTTATTTTCACCTACAGGTACTCAATCGTTTATCAGTCCAGTTTGTGAAGCCAAATATGCCTGTCCATTTTCGAATCGAAACTATGATTATTATTACTGCATAAATAAACACATCTAGGACCACAAAACAAAAAATAGTATTTTTTATAACAGATTTTTTATGCAAGATTTTACATAAGGGAGATATTCAAGTTTGAAATAGAGGAAATGCTACATTAATTTTTAATATATTTTCTGACGTGTTTGCTCACTTTTCAAATAAAGCCACAGTGTATTGTTTACGGAAAGTGTTTTTGTTTCTTGTTTTCTCTAACATGACAGTGTGAGTTAATCTGTTTGGCTGATTATATTATATTATTATGATTTCATTAATACCACAATTCAGCACAGTTCTGACATGAGCCTGGACAATCTGCATTCATTCCTAACGCCCATAATGGACCAGAAGATCGCATCCCAGACGAGCAGATCAAATAAAACGCCCCCAAAAAAATCCTAAACAAAAACAAACAAACGGTGGCTCGGGTCTTACAGCAAAACACCACCTTTCCTGTCGGTTTAACTGACAGCATCACAACAGCGGCAGCTATCTTTTCCATCCCATACGCACGACAACAAAAAAAATATGAGTACCAGGGGGCCATTCTCACCTGCACTCTTGCCTCGGACAGGCCCAGCCGCTGGCTCAGCTCCTCCCGCATGAAGGCGTCCGGGTAGTGCGTCTCGTCGAAGAGCCTCTCCAGCTCGTTGAGCTGCTCCAGGGTGAAGTTGGTGCGACTCCGCCGCTGCTTCAGTTTGCCCTGCGCGTCCTCGTCCTCCGATTTCACGTCCTCCTTCTTCTCCTTACACTCGTATATCCCTGTTTAAGCGGGCCCGTGGATGGAGAGTGAGAGAAAAGACGCGTTTAGAAATTTGGGGGAAAGCAAACACAAGGCCTCGGTCTTCTTTTTTTTCGACGACGTGCGCCATTACGCGCGTCAGATACGCAACAATGGCTGTTTCCCTGACCGGGGCCTATAAGGCCAGGCGGTTTTGACAGGAACGCGTAAAAACATTGCACAGCCTGTTTTTCCCTTCAAGGGAGAGGCCTGTGGCTGCACAGCCATGCTGCCTTCAGAGGGGAAACGTCAGGGCCGTTATACGAGGAAATCTGCGCATGGCACTCAAACCCTCTATAGACCTAAAGAACAAAGTTTAGGTTGCTGTGGGTTGGAGTTATTTTAGTGTACATTACACAGTTGATTTTTTAGAATAGTCTTTTTTTTTATTTAAACGTTTATATGTCAGTAATTCCCACCCACAGCCCCATAAACTGCTTTGGTTTGGGTTGTTTATCGGTGCTCTTTTCAGGCTATACTATGAAATTACTATCGTTACTATAATTAGCAACAAAGTTGACAGCTGCTATAATTACTGGGCCCGATCAGACGCGTTTTAGTGTTTGTAGTTTCCTGACGTACAATATCTTCTTTTTTTCCAGAACCGAAAGTCGTTTGATTTGTATGGAAATTATTATTACTTACAGAATAAACTATTCTTGATCTCGTCTGGCTGAATATAATGGGACGAAGTCCATAAGGTCAATTATAATACAGAAGAATACTGAACCCAAAGACATGCCATGAGATAAATACATTTTAAAGAAGCCCTTATCTTCTTTATGTAGGCTATAACTTATTAATTATAGAAAGGCGCATTTTAGGAGCTTTTTTAGAGTCAGATGTTTTTTTAAACTCAAAGATCATTTTAGTTTGCAGATGAAAATTATTTAAGTGGCTTCAATCTGGAGAAGCGGGTTAAGCATTTAAACTATGAATTGGACAGGATTTTGACTAATATAACATGCCTGATGTAAAGATTATAATGATAAAGAAAATATCATACACAAACAGATGAAATACAGTGAACATAAAGCGGAACAAACTGTAACTGTGGCACACAGTTACAGTTGACTTTCCTCTACTGTGGAAACATTTTTGTTGAAGTCCCAAAAAAAAACAATAAAAGTGGGCAGATACGTTATTAAGTAGTTCAAACCTAAAACAAATAAATCGCCGGAATATTCGGCGACGCAAAGTTGATAAAGAAAAAAACACACATGGTCTTCTAAATGAACGCCTAAAAACATGCACTAAATAGTTAAAACTATGGTCAGATCAAGGGCCCGCCTCCTACTTTGTAAGAATCACCGCTGGAACGACAGAATAAACGCCAACTTTCGGTAACGGGCTGTGATTTATTTTCATTTTTATGACCTTTTTACGCACATTTGATGTCAAATCCAAGAAATAAAAATGAAAAAAACCTTTCTCTCTTTTTTCAAGGCGGTTGAACTTTGAGAGACATTTTTTTTCTCCTCCCGACAGGACACGGACAACATTTAATAAAATAAAAAAAACCTCACCCTCTGTCGCCCTGGACACGCTAAAGTCCTTGAGTTTCTCCTTCTCCAGCTCGACGTGGTCCTTGAACAGATGGACGGGGCAGTGGCCGGAGTCCGTTATGTCCTGCAGGCTCGCGTCCGGGCTGCCCAGCTCGCGCGCCCGCGTCAACCCGCTCTCCAAAACTTCCCGGTACGTGATGCTCTCCTTGCTGCTCTCCTTGCTCTTCTGGTCGAACGACTTCGACACGAACGCCGTAAGTTCTTCCATGGCTGGACTCTGGCGGTCAGCAGCAGCAGTAGCGGTCCAGGTCGGGGGAAAAAAAATATCCACCGGTGAGGAGCGCCTCGCCGATCTACCGCCGCTCGCGGATTGCGCTCTTTTTTCTTTTCTCTTTTTTTTTTTCGGGGGGGGGGGAGAAAAAGGCTGGCAGCAGCGGATAGATAGGAGGGGTGGAGAGGAGGTGAGATCACTCCTGCTGTTGTGACTGTGTATTTGAGAGCACACTATTTATACACGACCACCTCGGCCCAGCCCCCCCACACACACCCCCCCCCCCCCCCCCACCCCCCCTCCCCCCCATCCCCGCCTCCTCCCCCATCACCGGCCCGCCCTTCTTTCCCGAATTCCCCCTTCCCCCGCTTTTCTTTTTTTTTTTTTTCCTCCTTCTTCTTCTTATTCTTCTTCTTCATCATCTTCTTCATCATCCTCTTCTTCCTCCTCCTCCACAAATCAATGCTGGAGCTGATGGAGGCGGTTAATTGAATTACGAGGTCATTAAAAATGCCCACGGTGGCTCGCTCCTGCAGGAGGTTGTGTTTATGTCTGATTAATTCGGCGGAAATTGAATCAACGTGATTGGGAGATATACGAATGCACGGTTTTGAAGGAATTTGTCTTCACTTTTATTTTTCCATTTCTGTCCCCATTTATTCGCTGGATGTTTGTTGAGTTGATGAATGTGACTCAAAAGCCAATGTATGAACCACCTTATAAGTCTCTGGAGGACCCGCTGATCAAAAGTAAGGCTCAGATCATTCAGAGGGCATAACACATTTCACACACACACACACACACACGCACACACGTATATATATATATAGGTCTTAACAGATGCTTCTCAACCTTTCTTTTAGGATCACAAATTGAATTTATAGGCCACAAGTTCTCATGTTGCATTTATTTCTCTGCAGACAAATTTCCTTTTCTTTTTTTAGTGTATTTCGTCTTATTTAACCTAATTCCAAATGGTGGTAACTATACGGAAAGTACCCACCATTCAACAGACCCATATGATTAATCACAGTCGCCCCAATGTTATAATTAATATCTAGCTGTAAAAAAAAATCAGGTCCCATTTGAGTATTCACTTTCCGATTGGAAAATATGGGACAGAAATCAATGGATACCAGCTGTGAATATAAAAAAAAAGTTGACTCTGTTTACAGGATTTTCATGGGAATAAGTGAGCCTATAATGGTCCGACGCTATCTCGGCCGTTTATCAGTCCAGCAGGCGAACACAAAAGGCCGGTAGGAGTGGGATCCCCCTGGGTCCGGCGCCCTGAGCGGGCCGCCACAGTGAGAGAAAGCGTCATATCTCAGCCCTCTAATGACTCGGTTTGATGTCCCTCCATTTATCTTTCACATCACCGTGGCTGACGCACAAGTCGAGGTCTCTCCCCCCCGTGCCATGAACTGCGCCTTTTGTTGTTAATAGACCCAAATCCTCTTTAAGACGCAAATCTGCGCTCCCTCCATTTCACCCCGCAATAAAGTGCCGCTTACAAGGCGCACGTGCTTGTATCAGAATAATCCACACATGGAAACCTCTTTAAAAAAAAAAAAAAAAAAAAAAAAGAAAAGATTCGAGAAAATATTTAACTTTTACGCATTATATCCTGCACGTGCTGTTTGACTTTAAGATCCCTAAACGAAATCGTTCTTTTTTTGTTCTATAATCATGTTAATGGGTGCTTTGTTATATGATGCTGTTGTATAGTGTAGATATAAAGACTAGAATTAAGATGACATTTTCAGTTAATTAATGGAAATATCTTTAAGATTTCCAAGGACAGCATACCCCCGCCTCTGTTTTTTTTCGAAGATTTTTAACTCAATAATTCCTTTGTACTTTAAGCCTTGTCTCCAACATCAAATCTCATTTTTATATTTCACACTGCACCAGAAGATTCTTCCAGAATAATAACGCAAAACATATTGCCAGAAGGCCTATAGGCAGCGCCTGTTTAATATGAATGACGAACACAGGGCCCAATTACAAAAAGACAACACCGCTAGTGTGTATCCCTGCATTCATTCAACATTCCACTTATTTATTTAATACGGTGTGTTCCCGGTAGAACAGCTGTAGCAAACTCAGATTCCTCAGTTCCACTTCTCCAAATATCCACCTATAAAGTCTAATCGCGCAGACACGAGAGATGCGTTATCCAATCAGCGGCAGCCCGGAGGAATATCAAGAAGAGATCCAGGAGGGATGCTCTTTACGCACCAACGCTGGTGTCGCAACAGTTTAGTGGCCAAAAAAAAATCTTAAAGGGGCCTCAATCACATTTTCACTTGCCTTTCACTCAGCGCCATTCGAATCCCCCGCCTTTCCTGCTCCATCACCAAAAGCATGTCGTTTAATATTCTTTTTCTTTGTTAATCAGTAATTGAATTATTGTCGGAATTGTTGAGGCTATTTTTTGCCAGGGTGGCGGGGCACAGGACAACTGAGGGATAACCACACTGACTAGGACTATTAAATTATTCAGGCCCAATAACAGAAGTACAATTCACCTCAACATAATGATTATTATTATTATTATTATTATTATTATTATTATTATTATTATTAT